CGGCCCCCGGCGGCCCGGCGCACCCCCCGGGCCAGCCCCCAGCCCAGCGGCGCCGGATTTTCCCGGACATGTTCGGCTTTTTGGGCTTTTTCCCCGGACGGGAAAATCCGGACGTATGGTAACCCTAGTTTAGGTGCCACTGAGAGCCTCCAAATCCCTTCTTTGCTGCCACCTAACGAAACAGGCACCTACATTTTTGCCACAAGGGTCTCCCTGGCACCAAGTTTCTGTTACTGGGGATACCCACAATGCCCCACTCTAGGTGTCTAAGCTCCAGCAGGTGAAGATAAGTGGGGCACTGCCTACCAGATTAGGCCCCATACAAAATCCAGCCAGAGGAATTACCACTTCCCTTATACCCTATTACCAAATGGTTAGAGCAGTGGTTCTCAAAGCCGGTCCGCCACTTGTTCAGGGAAAGCCCCTGGCGGACCGGGCCAGTTTGTTTACCGGCCGCATCCGCAGGTTCGGCTGATCGTGTCTCCCACTGGCCGCGGTTCGCTGCTGCAGGAAGCAGTGGACTGGCTTTGAGAACCACTGGGTTAGAGCACTCAGCTAGGACCTGGGAGTCCCAGGTTCAATTTCCTCCTTTGCCCAATGGGGAGAAAGACCCCTGTTCAAATCCTCTCACCTTTCAGGATCTGGGCCTAGCTCACTAGTTCATATTGGACTATGGAAGTAACCAAAATGTGTCATCTTAAGGCAGTTTAAACTCAAGGCTTGTGTGAATGAGCTGGTGGACTTCAGCTAATTCAAAGTGGATAGGTGTCTGTCATAACTGACATCTTTTGGGGCAAGTTTGGCAGAGATGCTAAGTGTTCAATAAGCAGAGAGACCCTCTCAGTTAGAGCCTTATGATTTCCCGGGGTGCAAGCTTCCAAACTAGACTGTCTGGTGACAAGTATTAATCTGGCTGCCAGAAAAGAATATCTGGACAGTTTGTGTCTTGCAAAGAACAGGAATCGGGGATCTCAAAACAAGTCTCTTCTGTGGCGTATGCCCAAATCAATCCTGCACTTAGCTCTTGAAATAGTGCCATCAATTCGAGATTGCAGTGTATTGACGGCAGTAGCATGAGAAATCTTGTGCTGCAGCCACCCATTCTATGGTTATCTTCTGGATAGTTTCCAGTGTTACAAATTCAGCAACAATTGTGTACTCTGAGGTCAACATTTTCAAAATTGGCCATTGATTTTAGACACTTTGGTTTTTGGTATTTAGTCTGAGACCCTGAAATGTCACAAGTTGAATACTCACACACTGATGCACTCAAAGTCAGCCACTTTTGAAAAATTTGTCCTAAATTTACTTAATAAAAATAAGAGGAACGAAGTGGGGGAAGGGGGATTGTTTTAAATTTTTCTTAATGTTTCTCTAGATCAGAAATTTACACACTTAAAAATAATTTCCTTTGCTACTTTTGCTAGGTATGGATGATATTCACTGTTCAAACGCTGATTTCACTCTCTCAAGCCATCTGCTCCTCCTACTTGATCCTGCCCTGTCATAATACTGCATGTTATATCACCGGTATTTCCTAGGCAACGGAGTGTGATGGCATAAATACAGCATTATGATTTCATAGGAAAATGAGAAGCTAGATGGGAAGAGGAAAAAACCTTGGATGTTGGCTTCACTAACACAGTACAAGCAAATAAAAACATGCAAAGGATTTTTAAAATAATCATTTATGCTTGTGTTATGTTTGCCACAGTCACTAACTTACTTTTGTTGTCTCTTAATATTTATTCCAACCAAAAACATTATTGAAAAACAGTTAGGGTTCTTCAAATAAACATAGCTCCAACATAACCATAAAAAGCCATGAAATTGCTAGTTTAGCCCTTCTCTAACCCTTGCAATCAACAACTATGATTTCACCTTCTCCACATTACCTCACCCACAACCCACATGGCTCCTCCCTTCAGCCCCACACAGAATGTGTAACCATAGACTAACCATGTGGAGTGGTTAGAAAAGGATGCAGTTGTTCAGAATGATGAACTGGTGTTGTCTTGAAGTAGACAGAGTGGATGGTGTAGGTTTTTAGATGATGGTTAAAAGTGTGCTGTGCTGGAGGATTGTGAATGGTGGGAATTGTGATAATCATTATTGCAAACTGGGAAGTTATTGCCTGTAATATCTGTAGTAATGCAATTTAGATGCTGTAGTTAGGAAGTATGGTGTTGCATTTTGTTTTCTTACCAGGTGATGTCAGGGGAACTGGAACAATTGGTATAGTGGGAGTGCTGAAAACAATTGAACCAAATTGTAAACCCTGTATATGATGGAAACCCACTTCAAGCCACGGGATGCAGCAGCACCCACAGCACCCCTAGTGCAGCACCTATGAGTGATGTTTATGCTCAAAGTAAAGGTTGCATGTTTTGGGTGGAAGGAGGAGGCATGTGGGTTGTGAATATTGGTGTGGTAGTGTGATGAAGGTGAAATCATGGTTACAGGCTGCAAGAGTTGGGTGAGGACTCAACTAGGGATTTCATGGTTTTTTAATGTTTGTAGTGGTGGTAACTTTAACTGGTTATTAACAATGTTTTTTTGTTTGGTGGGATCTCTACATTAAAAACATTGATAGATGATGGGGATAGCTCATGTATTCTCATCTCTACGCTTCTTCACAGAGTCCTGCTAACCCCTATGCTCTCCACATATCACCACTCTTCCTACTAGCCCTCCTCACAGCTACACTTCTCCCCATATCTCCATGCAGAAACCCTGTTTATTCTCTCTCTTGCCCCCCCATATGCATCCTGTGCTTCCCGACCATGATCTAGATTGCGCCATCACTCCACGTCTGCAGTGCCTGCCATGCCCCCTATTACTCTACCACAGTTAGGGTATGTCTAAATTACGAAATTAAGTCGATTTAATAGAAGTCGATTTTTTAGAAATCGATTTGATACAGTCAATTGTGTGTGTCCCCACTAAGTGCATTAAGTCAGCGGTGTGCGTCCAGGGTACCGAGGCTAGTGTCGACTTTCGGAGCGTTGCACTGTGGTAGTTATCCCACAGTTCCCGCAGTCTCCGCTGCCCATTGGAATTCTGTGTTGAGCTCCCAATGCCTGATGGGGCAAAAACATTGTCGCGGGTGGGTCTGGGTACATGTTGTCAGACCCCCCTCCCTCCGTGAAAGGAATGGTAAAAAATCGTTTCTCGCCTTTTTTCCTGGGTTACCCGTGCAGATGACATACTACGGCAAGCATGGAGCCTGCTCAGCTCACTGTCACCGTATGTCTCCTGGGTGCTGCTGGCAGATGCGGTACTGCGGTGCTACACAGCAGCATCCCCTTGCCGTGCAGACGGCAGACGGTGCAATACGACTGCTCACCTTCGTCATCATCCCATGGGTGCTCCTGGCCAACCTCGGTTAGATTGGTCGGGGGCACCTGGGCAGACATGGGTGCTCCTGGCCAGCCTCGGTGAGGTCGGTCGGGGGCGCCTGGACAAAAATGGGAATGACTCCAGGTCATTCTGTTCTTTAAGTTTCATCTAATGGAGATTCAGTCCTGCCTGGAATATCATGCCAGCTGGAGGCTTCTGCCTCAGGCTGCTCTCCCAGTCAGCAGCACTGTGTGGTCGCACCTACCACAGCCTACCCGTTGCTCCCGTGGCTCATGAAGCCTGGACAGTAGTAAGGAGCAGTTCAACTATAGGCTGAGCAAGTGCAGAATGGTGGTAGAATGTGCCTTTGGACTTTAAAAGCTCGCTGGCGCAGTTTACTGACTCAGTTAGACCTCAGCGAAACCAATATTCCCATCGTTATTACTGCTTGCTGTGTGCTCCACAATATCTATGAGAGTAAGGGGGAGATGTTTATGGTGGGGTGGGAGATTGAGGCAAATTGCCTGGCCGCTGATTACGCGCAGCCAGACACCAGGGTGGTTAGAAGAGCACAGCAGGGCACGCTGTGCATCAGAGAAGCTTTGAAAACCAGTTTCATGACTGGCCAGGCTATAGTCTGAAAGTTCTCTTTGTTTCTCCTTGATGAAAACTCGCCCCCTTGGTTCACTCTACTTCCCTGTAAGCCAACCACCCTCCCCTCCTCCGTTTAATCTCCGCTTGCAGAGGCAATAAAGTCATTGTTGTTTCAAATTCATGCATTCTTTATTAATTCGTCACACAAATGGGGGGATAACTGCCAAGGTAGCCCGGGAGGGGTGGGGGAGGAGGGAAGCACAGGGCTGGGGTAGTTGTAGGAGCACCCCCTAAAATGACATGCAGCTCATCATAGAAACGGCACATCTGGGGCTGTGACCCGGAGCAACCGTTTGCCTCTCTGGTTCTTTGGTAGGGTTCACACGGCACTGCTGCGGGTCCCTGTTCTAACCTCTGTCCTTCATGCCCTTGGAGATTTTTTCAAATATTCCGGCATTTCATCTTTTGGAACAGAGTTTGGCTAGCACGGATTCGTCTCCCTATACAGCGATCAGATGCAGTACCTCCCGTTCGGTCCATGCTGGAGCTCTTTTGCGATTCTGGGACTCCATGGTCACCTGTGCTGATGAGCTCTGTATGGTCACCTGTGCTGATCAGCTCGCTACGCTGGCCAAACAGGAAATGAAATTCAAAAGTTCGCAGGGCTTTTCCTGTCTACCTGGCCAGTGCATCTGAGTTGAGAGTGCTGTCCAGAGCGGTCACAATGGAGCACTCTGCAATAGCTCCCGAAGGCCAATACCATCGAATTGCGTCCACACTACCCCAAATTTGACCCAGCAGGGTCGATTTCAGCAGTAATCCCCTCATCGGGGAGGAGTACAGAAATCGATTTTAAGAACCCTTTAAGTCGACAAAAATGGCTTCGTTGTGTGGACGGGTGCAGGGTTAAATCGATCTAACGCTGCTAAATTGGACCTAAACTCATAGTGTAGACCAGGGCTTCACTTTTAAAACACTGATTTGTGTCAACGTATCTCTGTTGATACTTATACAAGTTAGAAAATCATGGCATAACTAGAATCAGTTATCTGAGGAAGAGAAAAATAACTTCTTACAGGTTTAATTTTAAAAGTTAAGCAGCGGCCTATGACTGGAGATGCTCTCAGAGGCATGTGAGAGAAGTTTGGAGTTCATGGTCATTTGGCAAAGACGTGAGCAATATTTCAAAGTGGAAACATTTTAGAAAGTTTCCTCTATGAGAGTTAGTAAATATCTCACACAAAAATATAGAAGATTCAATTGCCTTATGCAGAATTAGTGTATAAAATCTGAAGATGAAATCAAATAATTAAAATGCGAATGAGGGATTTTAGTTCTATTTTAACTGCAAATCTCAACACAGCCTTAACTATGGAGTCATTACTGATTCCTCCATAATTATTAGCCTGAATTAGCTTATTTTAGCAAGTACACACACCAGTTCTCCATAATCTGAACCTTTGTCAGAGGTTGCTAACATAATTTACAGTTGAGGTGGGAAGTGGTGAGCCACCACCCACATCAAATAAAACATTCCAGATGGAGAATATAAACTAAAATGGAACGTGGAAGATGAACAATTCTGAATTTAAACTATGCTCACAATCCTTCTAGTTGCAGACACATCGAGAGCCAAGTTCAGCTGCCTCTACTCTGGATTCACAGTGGTGTGAGGCCATTGAAATTAATGGAGTTACTCCAGTTACACTGGCAAGTGAGAACAGGATTTGGCCCTGATCTTGAGCAACAGGCAGACTTACCGGAATAGTAAGGTAGCCACTTGTTTATACAACTCCTAATGGATGTGATGCATTAGCCAGTTTTCTGCACTAAAATGTTTCCTGTCTCACCTAAGGGAGAAATTACAAATTTGCCTCCACCTCTCTTTATATCTTGACTCACATGAACAGAGCCAGACAGTGGGCCATAACAAAACCCAGGACTAAGCCAAATTAACATTAATATAAACATTTTACAACTAACCATCTATGTAACCTTTTTGCCTCTCTTTTGACAGCCTAATGTGGCCCTAGACCTTGACCCATAAGCGAGAGGTAAGAGGCCAGGCACTGCTCAGTAGTATCAAACATTTTAAATGACAGGCTCCAAATGTGCTAAGCTTCATCAGGCTATGGAGGATTGGATTCTCCTTTGTCGGAGACTCTTAGTGAAGGAAAATATTTGCAGAATGCATGTATAAAAATATTTGAGGAGCCAACTTGTTAGGGGAGAATAGACATTGAGCATCTCACCACTGCAGTAAATTGATATTCACAAAACCTGTACAGATCTAGGAGATGCAGCGTTGCATTCTCTTATGCAGGCAGTCACCCACCCTGGGGTTCATCTGTTCCTGTCACCATCTATCATATCATACTCATGTGGGATACGGTTGATGAAGTTTAGGTTGACAATGAAGAGCACTGTTCTTTATACATGTGAAAACAGTTAGGTGGTTGGAAACATGTTTACGTTGTCCTTTCATCCAATCAAGTACTGTACAGCTGTAGTCTATTTGAAGAATCATTAACCTTATGTTTGCTGTCTTATTGCTTAAATCATATTCCTTTCTACAGCTAAACTTTAAATAATGCACGTGCAGAAAAAGCTACAAAAGACTTGTCACTACTGAGCACCTCCCAGTAAAATCTGGCTTCAAGTTTAATGTAAATAGTAAAAGTGTCCTAACTGTGTATTAAGTAAATTCATTGGAGGTAAGATTGAATTTCCTGGATTTGCTGTGAAATC